CTCCGCTTTTTGGCTGGAGAGACGGTTCCTCTTCTCATTAAGCACATGAGATGCTGCACTGAAGAGTCTCTCACCGCTGACATGCTTTGTCGTTCATGGGGAGACGCGTGATATAACAGCTCCAGCGTGAGTGAAACCTAACCTGTGCTGCGCCAGGATATGATGGGCGGGGCGGGGCATTTTCGGCGAGTTTTTTTTATTCCGGCCCGAAATAAAAATGGCCTTTTCGGCCGAAAATTTTCGGTGGCCGAAATTTCGGTGCACCCCTACAAAGGGAGTTAAATCAACAACTTTCTGACAGAAATTTACCAAAACACAAGTATGAATATCTTATAATTGCAGGGATCCTTTACTGTACTACTGAATGTACATGTCTAGTGTACATTCACTACTAGACGCGAGTCAGTCTTTTACTGACAGTAGCTATTTGTTCTCTTTTAAATCAAGTACTGCGGCACCAACTGTATTTCATGGGACCCGCCCTTGTCATGGGATGTGGGGTGTGAATCACATCCAGTGTGACCCTTGGTAGAGGAGAGATGGAGCAACAGGAACTGGTGCAGCTATACCTTGCACAGCTCCTTTGACCACAGTAATGAAGCCTTTCCATATTGCATCTGGCTCCATCTCCACGTATCCTACCTCTGGATAGAGGAGAACAACCTGGAGAAAGTTATGACCAGAATAAGAAACATAAAGATCAACCTCAAAATAATGTGTTGCCCAAAGTGAATGACACAAGTGGGTGGTTTTTCTGAGAAGGCAAAAAGGATGAGAAAAACGATGAATACCTTGGTAGTGCATGATCCTCGGATTTTTGCCTCCTTGTCATATACGTGACATTTGATTGATGTTGTACCAACGTCCACTGACAAAATGAAGGTTTCCTTAATTAAACCGTTCCTTTGACTCCACATTGTTGAAAAGCGAGTCCTAGTAGTCATCAAATCCACGTCTTCCAAGATCAGCTCATATCGGTACTGTTTACAACCTCAACGGATGGCGTGACCCGATAATGCCTTGTTGGCACCAGGCGGTCCCTCCTAATGAGGCTGTAACCCGACCTTCGAACTGTGGATTCCTCCTAGTCTTGTCCAAGTTGTACCTGTCCAGGGTAACACATTGCTTAGGTTTGTCTGTCATGCCGAACAAAAATACAAACTATGTGAAAAACATAACGAGGTTCAGCTATTCCGAGTGAAACTGTAATATTCAGATATATTCAAATACAGTTTCTATATACTTCAGTCCGGTGAAGACCTGTAGTAGTAGTTGTCCAACTCAAGAGTTAAGCTAATTGGCTACTTAGGTAGCCAAGTAGCTGTCAGAAATTAAAACTGAGCGCGATAGTAGCTTCAAAAAACACTTAGAATGCCTTTTGGTGTAAACTTTAGCGACTATTGCTCAATATTTACCCAGTATGTGTTCGTAGCAATTAGGCTCTCATGTCTGTTGGAGGAGTTTCCAACATTTGTATTGTTGTTAGCCGCATTAACATATCTCATCGGCACCCGTAGTAGCATACTCACACGCATGCGCAGTGTGTACATTAAATTGTTGCACGTGGATGTTTTTAGCAGAATACACGGCTACGATCGGATGTACCAAACAGTGACTGTGTGCTTTCGTAACTAAATATGACAAAGGTAGACGTAATATTAAATTGATATCAAGTATACGTCAGTGTGTTCTAAGTAAGTTGTTTTATATTAACCGCTTCTTGGACTTATTAGCTGCAAACCAACTAGCTAACAGTTGGCTAGCTAATGATAATCACACGAGAAAACAGAGTTAAGTTACTGGTAAACCAAGCACAGTTGGTTTTAAGTGTTTAGGAGGCAGGAAGAATTAGAATTATTCTATGTGCAACTTAGATGTGTTTCTGTCTCCCCAAAATCTGAATAGATTGATAGGTAAGGACCCGAAATGTCTCTTGTGTTCAGGTGTAGCATCACTTCGGCACATTCTCTCAGGGTGTAAAATGGTCTTATGGTAAATGGTCTTATACTTGTATAGCGCCTTTCTATGCTTTTACAGCACACTCAAAGCGCTTCACATTATTCGGCCATTCGCACTCCCAAGCACTCACGCATTCACACACCGGTGACATCACCGGGAGCAACTGGGGGTTCAGTGTCTTGTTCAAGGACACCTCGACATGTTGACTGAACAAGCCAGGAATCGAACCGCTAATCCTCCAGTTAGGAAACAGCCGCCCCCAAAACAAGCCTGGCTCAAGGACAATACATATTATCAAGCGTTGAAATGTTTAGCAGCAGCTATTGAAAGTATGCGTTTAGAGGTAAATCCAATGGAGGCGAAGAAGAAACAAGAGGGGATTTTGTTTTTCCGTGAGGCTGAAAAAGGCAGGATTCAGGCCAGCTAAAGGCAGGAAGAGACTGGCAAATGAAAACGAACGTAGGGAATCAGTTTATAGTTCCTGAGGAGATAATAAGGACTAACCTCAGACCAGACCTTTTGTTGTTGTCAGAAGCACAGCGGGTAGTGTATTTTTTTTAAGCTTACAGTTCCCTGGGAGGACGCTGTAGATACAACTTATGAGAGGAAAACCTGAAATACATAGTTAGCCGTGGAAGCAGAGAAGCGTGGCTGGAAAGTTAAAGTCTGCCCCCTGGAGGTTGGTTGTAGGAGATTTGTAGCCAAATTAACTGTCTCTGTGCTAGGTGAGACAGGTATAAAAGGACCGACCTTAAGGCAGGTAACTGAGAATCTAATTGATAGTGCAGCAAGTTAGTGGCTCCAGAGCAAAAGAAAGGTGTGTGCATGGAGTAGAACATAGGTAAGTGATTTATAAATGGCACTATATGTGAGGATTACGCTTGTTAAGTTGAAGTAAACTAGCACAGGAGGACAGGGTTAGTAAAAGTGTTTGATACATGCAGCTGGCTTGAGGCCTACTTCCTGGTGTTAGGATGAACAAGCTAGCATGAGGGGATAGTAGAGTTTTGACTGGTTTGTTGGAATGAATACTAACACAGGGTGGTTTCTGGTGCAGTATAAAAGGAAGCAGAAGTCTGGCTAACTCTGAGTTATTTGAAATGTTTTGTGGCTAGAACAGTAGTTGAAATGTTTGCTAGTGCATGTGACTGTTTGGTAACAGTTAACCTGAGTAGATGAAGGGGTGTGTGGGTGCAGGCGAAGAGGGGGGTGGTTCTGGGATGTTGGAATACACTGTTGAGCCTTCTTGGCGTCATGGGCCCAACTCAATGAAACTCCAGTTAGTGAGAGGGCGCCCACCTGATGACCCTGTAGACTTGCCTTCACTCCTACACCCACACAGAACTTCTGTTGGTGATAATATAGTTACAGATTCACTGGAATTGTTACTAGTCTCCTTCTGTTAGACAGTCTTGGTAGAACAGTGTCAGTGCTTGGACAGCTGAGCGGATCCAGCTCTCAAAGGTGACCACCATTACAAGCCAGTTGGGTCAGCCACTGCTTAACCTGAACAAATACAATGCACATGCTGTGTCAAGCCACATATCTGCCCTTTGCTTGGGTGAGGATAGAGTTCAGAGATGCTTTGTGTAACGGTAGGTTAGGTCTAGAAAATGGTGTTGCTTGTTGTGGGGCTCTGAAGATTTTTGAGGGCATGGCCTGACACCCCCGTCTTTGGGGCCAAATAATGGGTAAACATCATTTAACTTGTAAACTGAGCTTCCATATGAATGCTCTCCCATTCTTTGGCACATTTAATTGTGTATTATTGATTGTCAGTTTGTTAATTAGTGGTTACTTTCTCATAATCACAATGTGTTTACTTAGCAAGTAGTTCTGGAAAATATATCAACTAATTGATTGATGGAAGTTAAATGTCATCAAATTGTGATCTGATCACTTTGGGCTTTGGGAAATTATTAAGGACATTTGTCTACTTAAATTTTTATTTTTTATAATGTAAATGACTGTAAAAACGATTGACACTTTATAGTGAATTTTTAGCTGCAGTCCTACTTTCAAGAACACATACGCACAGGTTCATAATTCTGTTAATGTGTTTGTTTCTTTCAGGCTACAAAACACAGAAAAAGACAAAGCAAAGTTGTGATCAATAAAGAGGAAGACAGCACTGGCAAGCCATTTCTTTTAAACAGTTGTGAATTTCCAGTGAGCATATTTGGATGTACTAATGGCAACAATAAATCATTCACTTGATGTTTTTCAGAAGGACAGACTGAGAATGTCTCAAGTGAACAGAGGACAGAGGAGGATGCTCCTACTGAGAGCATGGAGATGAAGCAGGAGCAGAAATGCCGAGATGAGCACGGTACTGCAAACACATCACACTTGATGTCTGACTGAATTTTGAACACTGTCATTAACAAAACTGCACCTTCAGAATGCCAGATGGACACTGACACTGAAGTGGAAGGAGACACACCCACTGTAGCCGTGTCCTGTGAAAACAAGAGTGAGGAAGAAGGTGAGAAGAGAATTTATGAAAATGAACAGATGATTGCCAAAGAGATGATGGGTAGTGTTAAAGCTGTTTACAATGCAAAATCTATGACTAATTAAGCAAACGAAGCTTATTTCCCCACTGAAATGTTTGTCATTGAAGTTGCCAATGCAAAGTTGCATCAAACTAAACAAATTAAATGTTTTAATGTAAAAATCATATTTTTATTAATTCAAGTTCCAGATGTAAAGTTAGTCTTGGTTTACATATGGGTGTTTTTTATTCTTTGTTTTAAAGTGATACTTAAATACCCCAAAATTTAGGCTAAGCTCACATTACAGGCCTTAATGTTCAGTTCAGTTTTTTTTGTTGTCAGATCTGATTTTTGTCCGTGTTGTTGTTTGTGACGGTTGTGGTGTGAACACCGCTGAGGTCTTAAATTGTGACGCATGTGCAGATTTGACAGAAATGTGAACCATTTGTCTAAGTATGAAACACTCATCCCCTACAGACTTGAACAAAGGTTGCATATCCAACATTTACCATAGGTTCCAACAGGTTTTCACTGTCTCTAAATCATATAAATTGCCTTTTCAGAAGCACAGACTTAGGCAGTGTCTGCAGCTGATACAATAGATTGCACAAACAATACTCCCAATGAGAGTTCTGAGACAAGCATAGAGGATGCTGAAGATGAGCGAGGTGCTGAATATACAACGTACACAATGTACCTGAGTGAAAGGTTGAGCAGTACCAGTGATGGAGTTTCTTCTTTAGAATCTTGTATTGCAAAGTCACTGAAGAAAATAAAAGTGCAGCCACAATAACTGTAACCTGAGAGAAGAAGATGGGAGAGAGTGATCATACAAAATGGAAAACCAATGGGAGTGAGCATGTGATTGTTAAAGTGACAAGAGGTAAATAGAGTTCTCTAATTAAGGTGTTTTTCCACCAGAAAGTCCCCGGTACTTCTTATTACCAGGAACTAAAGCCCAAGAACCGTCCTCGTGGGCAACAGACCCTCGAGCGCATTGTGATGTGCATTTCCACAGCAGGATCAAAGCCCAGGACAGATTGTTCAAATTAGGCTACCGATGTAAAAGCACAACATTTGGCAATGGGGTTGAAAGAATGCCCAATGTAAAATGTTTGCTATGGCTAACATACTGCAGGTGGAGTACACACTGCAGGCAGAGCTGAAGTGATCGCTCTTCTGCAAGCTTATGCATGTTTTTTTTTTGTTTGTTTGTGTTCCTCTTTTGGTGAGGTTTATTGCACATACAGTAACAAGCACAGGGATTGTTGCTCTGAGTACTGTTTTGCTTCAGCTGATGTCATGCTCTCCTCCATGGTCTTTGCCTACTAAGCTCTGCGTGTGGAGCAGCTGAGCTCTGCCCTCAGGGCGAATACCTGGGGGGCATTGTTCATACCTGGATTAATAGGTTAGCAAATGTGAAGAATATCAAATTTTCATTTGATTATTGAGCCAAACTATGAAGAAAACTATTAATAATGTCAGTAGAACAAAGAGTAATAGGCTACGTTACAGTAGTTTACAGAGTTCTTGTACTTCACTTGGCCTACGTGCTTGCTGTATAATGCAGAGGTTGGATGAAGTAATAGGAATTCCACCACACACAAGTTCATCATCTAAATGTTTCTTAATAAATGAAGATGATCTAGACATTGCTTGTGTGTGCTGGATTTCCTTTTACTTTTTAAATGTATTGTCCTGCTCCAGCTTGTCACTCTGTTGGATGTATGAGCATGCAGCTGTGCACAGGATTACATTTAACTTACCTTAATTTAACTTAACTTAATTTACTCAAAGCAGTGGACATGCATTTGTGCAAATACAATCTTTAAATTCCAATCTTTAAATGCCTCCAGCAGAAGCGCTCTCTCTGCTGCGGTGACAGATTCTCTCCTTAGACATCTGTGTGTAGCCAATCAGAAACCAGCTGATCATGGTTTCAGCTGTCGATATATACAGTCTAGTCAAAGACAACAAGAGCACGTTAGGCACCACCTTCCTCTGATAGTTTTTGGGCCTTCAGAAAGTACTGTCCTGACTTTAGGCACTATATTAGAACTATGCCCTGGAACTAAATTTAGACAGAATTAGAGGAACTACGCTCCAGGAAAGGTTCCCGCTCCCTGTGGAAAGTTCCTTTGGTGGAAATGGGGCTTTAGTTGTCAGTGTTCAAACAGCTGCTTCAGTTTGTGGCACTACAGCAACCCACCTAAAATTTGAAGCTGTAAAAAAATTCATTGAAAGTTGGCAATATATACTGTATGTGCTATGTGTCTCTGTTTTACCAAAACGTACTCCCACTCCCAGAATATGAAGTTCATCCTCTGCATTTTAACCAAGTCATTTTCAGCTTTTCCCGTGTAGGGGTCGCCACAGCACATCGTCACACTGACGACTTGCATGTTGACATTTGGCACGTGTTTTACGCTGGATGCCCTTCCTGATGCAACCCTGATTCGAACCCGCGGTGCTGCAGCGAGAGCGCTGCGCCTTAACCACTAGCCTACCAGGGACGGCAAAATCCTCTGGATTTTAACCAAAAACTGGAAAATGAATACAAGCTTTTAGCTTTAATGTATTGATATGACATCAGAGCTGTTGTAGATCATGTTTGGACCTGAACAAGTGATTCCAGTATTTTGCTTTAAAAATGTTTAAAATTTGAGACCTTGAAGCACAAAATTAGGTGGTGTAAACATTAATGTGTAATATCTAAGGCAGTACACCAGAATTTTGTGAAATGTATTAGACAAAAATTTATGTGCTGGATGGTTTATGAAATGTTTGAATTCTTAAAGGTTCTTTCATGCCATAAATTCTTAATGGCAGCTGTAAAGAGCCAAAATGTCTGTAAACCGAGAGAACACTATAAATCACAAATGCTGGCAGTCACTTGTGCTCAATTCAGGTACAATGATGTGATCATATAACGAACACATTTTTTCTATGTTGCAGCAAACGGGAAGCGGAAGGCGCGCTCTAATGCTGAGACCTCCTCATCAAAGAAATCTAAGATCGTCAATGATGGTATGAACTCAAAAACGAACCTGGCAGCTCTTTGTGAAATGTCAAACTCTTTGGAAAGGATTTGCCCTCACACATTTCACCATCTTGCTTTGTTGTAGGTTTTTGTGTTTTTGTTGGCAACCTGGACAACTCCAGAACATATGAAGAAGTCAAGGATTCATTAGCAACTTACTTCATGACACAAAGTCTGCTGGTTCAAGATATCAGATTAGATCGGTCCAAGTGAGTGTGTATCATACTAACCCTAATTTTTCCTCTTGTTTTTTCTTTATTGGACAATAAATCTGTTGTAGGTGCATTTGACATTGGTACTAAATAAAAACAAAGGTAATGTTCTGCCTTTGTAGAAAACATGCACATGTGGATTTGGCCTCAGAGATGGATGTGGCCAAGGCCCTGGTGTTAAATGGAACAATGCTCCTCGACAAGCCAATGAAGATTGCTAAAGCAAAGGTCAAAAGTGGGGAAAAGGTGAAAGCTCCACCACTCGACAAAAAAGGTAACATGTCTAACTATAATTAGTTCATAACACATTTAAATCGTGTGCTACATGTCACCTTAGGCACAGATGCAGTGGTAGTGCATCTGTGTTTAGACAGTCATTTATTCTTGAGCTTTAAAAACGAATGTACATTTGAGTTAGGTTTGTCTTCATCAGCTTAAATAATGTGACCTGGGAATTTCAAGCCTTATACAGTCATGTAACATAAGAGAGCATTCCTGTGACTTGAACGCTGTCCTGTCTTTGGCAGTCAAAGATGCCAGGTGTTTGTTTCTAAAGAACGTCCCCTACAGTGCAACAAAAAAAGACCTTTTAAAAATCTTCCACAAGGCCGTTGCCATCCGCTTTCCTGGTGGAACTAAAGAGCCAAAGAAAGGGTGAGTGTTTTTAAAACCAAACTATACTGTGTTGTTGGATGTGAAAATCCTACACTGGATTATGTTTTGTAATGCATTAAATATTGTCTATAAAAATTTAAAGTAAATTTATTGAATGGGTATTTGCAATGCATACTTAATGACATTTGTTTGCTTTTCAACAGTATCGCTTTTGTGGAGTTTAAAAATACAACCATTGCTAAGAAAGTACTACAGAAAAAACAAGGAGCCAAGATCCAAGGCCGGGTTTTGGTTGTGGACTCTGTAGGTGAAACAAATGTGACTAAGATCAAGAAAAGCATCAATAAAGACAGCAACACAAAAGGTAAATAACTGGGTAGTTATAAATGTAATGTCAACGTGTGTGTATATAGTACACACACAACACCACCTTTAACTGTGACCTCAATAATAAACATATAATTGAATTTATACATTTATGACAATTTAATTAAAAACAAACATTTTGAGCTTCAGAAACACAGATGTTAAGGTGGAAGTGCCTACAATCGTCTAGGTGTACAGGCAAAAGGTGTGCGGTAGAATTCATGTATGTGAAGGTGCTTGATTAGATCAAATTGATATTTATTGATAAGAAGATTTTGTGTTTCTAAAGTCGGTTTGAGTTGTGATGAGTTATAAAAATGCTTCAGTTGTTTTTCTTTTCTTTTTAGTCTTGTTAAAAACACTTATTGTAATGGGTCTTGCTGAGAAGACGACTACAGAGACTCTTAAAAGTGCTTTTGAAGGAGCCCTCAGTGCGAGAGTCACCGCAGGTAAAGGCACAGGACGTTCAAAGAGGTGGGAACCGTGAAGTTGTCTGTTTACTTTTGGAATCGTCCAAAACGCTGTGATTTTCCACCTGACACCGTTTGTTTATTTTTTTCAGGTTTGGTTTTGTGGATTTTGACAGTGAAGAAAATTGCAAAGCCGTTAAAGAAGCCATGGAGGACTGTGAGATAGATGGCAGCAAAGTGACTGTGGCTTACGCAAAACCCAAGGGTGAGAGAGGCCCCCAAGGTGGCAGAGGAGGCCTGGGTGGGCATCCTGGTGGAGCACCTGCAGGACGGGGCGCTGGCACAGGGAATCATCGAGGTAAAGGGGGAAACGTCAGAGGTGGACAAGGCAGCAGGAGAGGCAACACTTTTAGTGGTCACTCAAAGGCTCATAAGTGCTGAAACCTAGTTGGTGTTCATTTGAATCTTCACAAAATATTATATTAACAACCTGGCTG